AACTAAAGAGGGCAAAGAAGGTGTTGGTCTCGATTTCTGTTTAATTATGAGCTTTTCATCATAACTGAGAGTACTAAATCCTTTTAATAATAAATAATCTACAATGTCCATGCAACTAAAGAAGTTGTTGAGGTTATGTTCGTTTTCTGCACTCATTTTATTTTAATAAAGTTAAGTACGTACCAGAGTAAAATGTAAATTATTGTTTTAATAATTAATTATGATCGTCTCACAAAAATTCCTAAGAAAAACTTCACATAAACACCAGTTAAAAACACCAAACACGCGCCTACCGTATCACAGATGACATGTAACATACAAGTTTTATGTTGCGCACTCGCAGTTCGCACGCAGTTGTATGATACAACTGCGTGCGAACTGCGAGCGCTGAGGTGGTAGAGAAGGAGAGCTATATTGAAAGATTCGCTTGTTAAAAAGAAATGGAAGGTGGCAACAAGCCTCAGTGTCGACTGCTAAAGCTCGTATATAGAAATCCCACATCATTTCAAGGCCACGCATCTTATAGAGCTCTATAAAAGGCTTGGAGGCTTGAGGAAATTAGCTGCCAGCGACTTACAATGCAAATTCTGAGGGCGCGAAAAATAGTGAACATTTAAAAATCGTATATTTACGTACTCGAGATCTCCCTTAGTAGGTACATAATTAGTTGTATATGAAAATAGATTTGTAAGAATATTTCTTAAATAATATTAATTATATGATGTAAAATAAAAAAACTAAAAGAAAACTTTTGCAATACTATGAAAAACTGCAGAGGAGGCTTAGCCTCCCCAGCCTCCTCTAACCAGCCGCCACTGATTTGCATGTTGTTTTTTTATGCACATTATATAAGTACTGTTTTTTAAATCACCTAATTAACTTTGTTGTAATGTCGTTACCTTGTGGTTATTTACACATCGTAAAAAATGTGTACTGTAAACCTTACCTATTCCTAATAAAAGTGTATAGGTAATATAAGAAAAAGGTTGAATTTAAATTTCTAGTGTTGTTGCTTTGATTGTATGAGATTAGTTTATTTAAACATATCTTGGCATTGACTGCATTAATTTTTAAACTAAAATTAATTGTTTTTGATTGATTATATTATGTGAAACAATTTATTAATTATTTTTTGTATTGTACATTTACATATCATTTATTAAATAGTTACAGTAAGATTCAATCAACTTATCTGCAAGGAAGATCAATTTCAATTATTTGAGCATCGTAGTTCTTCTATGATTTGTATTGGTTGGTACCACTTATGTATGACACTGGCACAGGTTTAAAGAAAAAGTTGTTTCGTAATAATCTGTAACTACTTATCGATAGCCAGCTAATTCATTTTGTGACCAAACCAATCGCGCAGTGGGTAAAAAAAAGTTGCGGGAGGGACGAAGATTATATACACATTCTTTGACACTGTGAATGCTTAATGGTGAAAAGTCACAAATACCTGGGGACAGAATTTCTATTACCACAGGTCATCAGACAAACTCCAACAAAACTGCTAGTCTTTCTGCGTACTAAACTTTACTACTAACAGCATATACAATGGGTCACAAGATCTGAAGGAATAGCAACACCGCTTTTCATACAACATAATTGTTTGTTAATTTTCTTATATTTAAACCCAAAGATCAAGATCTTGTCTAGCACCGATTAATTGCTGAAGAAGAATAAGAAAAAAAAAGTAGAAATATGGAGTATTTTATTTTTTTAATAACTTTTTAATACTACCTCTTGTTTTAACTTTCCTAAATTCGTCCCTATATTATAATTTACGTAGTGACAGTAAAACAATTCAGCTAAACTAGATCAATGTCAAAGGTTATTGACTTTGGGAATCACAAATTAATACAGTTTAATATAATTTGAAATATTTCATTGCTGAAGATTTTTTTTCAGCGAACTATCAAAATGGCGCCACATACTTCTATACCAACTGAGCATGATGAGGAGATGGTTGCAAAAGTAATTCCACCAGAAGGGGTAAAACCAAGTGACCGCAAACTTGAACTGGTTTGGAAAAATATCATCATCTTCATCTATATTCACGCTGTGGCTGTATACGGGTTTTATTTATTGATTACTTCTGCCAAGACAGCAACATTCATATTTGGTAAGTTTAACTTACAATTGTGTAATTCATACTATGGAATATAATATTCAATAGCCACATAACCCATATTCAACCTCTTGCAAATCAAATTTATGCTTTTGCAAATCAAATTTGATGAATCTTTAACCTATACTTGAAATAATCAATCACCTTGCATTTGTTCCAATAGGCCTTTTTTTCAAAAGTTGGATTACTTATGTCATTTCCAATACTGCCAATGAATATAAAGGTGGAGTGACGTACCAGGTTAAATTTAACTAAATCGTTGTTCAGCTTACAGCTCTCTGATTCAAAATGTATTGTATTTGTAATATACCTCGACACATTATCGTTAATTATTCAAATAAATCTCGTATTGAACTTCATGGATTTTATGACACTTACGAACACAGTTATGCCGCTGTAACTTATATTCGACGTTTTCATAATAATAAATACTTATTCTATTAATTTTATTTGTGCGGAACCTCGGGTAACTCCTCTAAAAACAATGCCTATACCCATTTACCCAGGCTTCAGTTGTGCGCTGTTATTCTATTATCAGATTTGATAGATTTTATTATTGAAAGTTATATATTATCTCTTTTCAAAAGATATTATATCCATGGACTGACTCTTCAGTTACCCCTGTTTGGAAAATATATCATTGTCATTAGTGAAAATCATTTATTAGCAAGTAGTAATATACAGAGAACTTTTAAACAATTCTTTATGGTGAGCCGCACCAGATTTTCCAATGGAGACTGGCCTCAACCAAAATTAAATTATCCTAATGACTGTTTAGTACTTTCTGAAGAAAGAAAGAAAACTTTTTTATGCATCACAAAATAATGAATATAATATTTTAAATGTTTTATTAATCGAGCATTCATCCTTAGATTAAAAAATACGAATTTACTGTTACATTTTACGATTTTCCAACAATTGTTGGTTTCCAAAAAACGAAATAACAACATATTCCATAAGAAGAAATTCATGACTCTCTACTTGTTTTGGTTAAACTTTTCTGTATTAATCCTGCTCCAAAAACTTAACACACTCCGATGTGATAATTTTTTTATATATTTGTTTTTTTTTTATTTTTAGATGCTATCGTGGCCTTTTGTGGTACATTTGGTATTACCGCTGGAGTTCACAGACTCTGGACCCATCGTTCTTACACGGCAAATGTTCCTCTAAGAATTATTTTGACTGTGTTTAACACAGTGGCTTTTCAGGTTCGTTAAATCACTCATGCGTAATTTATCTTTAAATTTCCAAATATATAATATGTTGCCAATTACAATTATTCATTCTGACAGAGTTCTGTAATAAGATGGTCGAGGGATCACAGAGTCCACCACAAATTTAGCGATACCGACGCTGATCCTCACAATGCCAAACGCGGATTCTTCTTTTCTCATGTCGGATGGCTCCTTTGCCGCAAACATCCCGATGTCAAGAGCAAAGGAAAGAGTGTTGATATGTCTGATTTGTATGATGACCCTATACTTGCTTTCCAAGACCGATACTACATGATTCTGGTGCTCTTTTTATTCTTCATTTTTCCAACATTGACTCCAATGTATTTGTGGAACGAAACCTTTATCAATGCTTTCTGTGTTAATATCTTCAGATACATTTTTTCTTTACATGCCACATGGTTAATTAACTCAGCTGCTCATCTTTATGGACATAAACCCTATGACAAGTGAGATAGTCTAAATCTAATAGATCCATTAAATTAATTTCATTCAATTGTAGATACATTAACCCATCTCAACACCTGACAGTGTCTCTCCTCACTCTGGGTGAAGGATGGCACAACTACCATCACACCTTCCCATGGGACTATAAAACTTCCGAGTTGGGAAAATACAGTGTAAATTTATCTACTGCATTCATTGACTTCTTTGCTAAAATAGGTTGGGCCTACGACCTTAAAACGGTTTCAGAGGATATGATTAGGAAGCGTGTTTTAAGAACGGGAGATGGCAGCCATGAAATTTGGGGATGGGGCGACAAAGACCAAGACAAGGAAGATTACAATGATGTACTCATCACTCACAAAAAAAGTTAAACAGTAGTTCCAGAAAAAGGTAGCTTCAGTACTTGAGAGACAGAATACAGAATGAGACCTCTATTTACTTAATATTTTTGCTGTAATATATGTTTTTTTGATGAAAAAAGTTGATATTATGCCTCTATTTTAATATATCAATCAAAAGTTAAAATGATTTTTATTAATAAGCCTATTATTATTTAGTTTATAAAAATTTGCATCTCTTTAAAAACATAGTATACTTTTATGACCAATATTTAGTTTGTAAATGTGCAGTGAACGCATTTGTAATGAAACGAATCTTAGACAGTTTCATAAAATCTGTTGAATTTAATTTGACGGATGAAATATTTCTATATAAGGGTGGCTCATTTTAGAAATTTCTCCTTGTTTCATTATTATTTTCAATTATTTATTCAAGTCAACCAAAATCTATTAAATAACAGCCACACAAAAAAAAGTTGTCTGTACTTTTCATGTTATCATATGATATCCATAGTATTTTTGCCTCCTGGGGGTCTATTCTCTAATCTCTACTAACAATGTCGACTACGACAAATGCCACTTATAATTGTCGCATACTTTTATAAAACTGTATTCTCGAGCAGTAATAGACACAATTTTGACGCATGACTAAATTTGTCAACACTGGATAACGACTCTACATTATCGATAAAACAACTTTTTTGACATCTTTCTGCGTTTTATTCTCTGTTCACTGGTTTACTGGTTTTATTTTTTACAATTTTTAGATAAATTAAAGTACTACCTATTTTATCCAAAATTTGTCAAGTGCTAATGGAGATAAAAAAGAATTACTGTAGTCAAAGCCAAAAAAACATGCTGATTGAAGTATTACGGCAGGATCAACAGCTCGTCTCTGGTAAATTTACTGGAAAATTTCACAATAGTATTTTTCAGCCAATTAAAGGCCTGTATTTTGTAGCGTTACTATATCAACTAAGAAAATTTCCGGAAATTTTTCTCTTCCTTGGTGTAAGGAGCATGAAATTGCACTGGAAATTTTTTGACATTTATAAATAAAATGACATTTATATTTAACTTCAAATTTATTCTATCATAATTTAATAAGTACAAATCATTTATAAATAATTATTTACCAAGTATGTACTTTTAGTAGTTTTAATTAAAGCGTCCAAATGTTGCTGAAATTCCTCAGCCACGTCTTCTTTTCTTAATGGGGAATAAACAAGCACACATTCACTAAAATTTATAAAATGTCTATGTTTCAAAAAATAAATGTAGTACTTTGAAACAATCTTATTCTGCTGTGATCCACGAAGAGCTCCATATTTCTTACACACAAGAAGCAAATGATTTTTAATAATCCCAAACAAGTTTGGCGAATAAATTTCTGGCCCGCATTCTTGTAATAAATACATTAAAAATTTTAGGTTCCGATGATACATTTTAATTTCACTAACTTTTTTGCAAAACTTGCATAAAACGTATTTCTCAAACCGCTCCATTTTTCAATTGTACAACACAACGATTTTAAAGAAAATGGTCAAATAACGTCAAAAGTCACGATTACCTTGTTTGACATGGATTCCATGGCCTTCTTAATAATATATACATATGAATTTTATTGATATTACATAGTGCTTAAGGTTCTTTGTAAGAAAATATATTTCTACCAACTTTAGTAAAATGAGTATGTGGAAAACTGAGGGATTGATCTACTATCGACTTATTTTTTATTATTTTGCTTAACTAAAGTCGGTTAGTTGTATTTTATTTAACCTAATGTTATATGTATGTAAGTTACTTTGATTATATATACTGCTTCAAGTTTTTTTGCAATAAAATATATTTTTACCAACTTTAGTACACTAAATTTTTAGAAAACTGAAAGATTGAACTACTATCAACTTATTTTTTATTATTTTGTGTAACTAAAGTTCACCACTTATACTTTATTTAACTTAATAAAATATGCATGTGAGTTTCATTGATACAACATAGTGCTTCAATTTCTTTGTAAGAAAATATTATTTCAACCTACTTTAGTAAAATGAATTTTTAGAAAACTGAGAATCTGAACTACTATCGATTTGTCTTTTATTATTCTGTGTAACTAAAGTTCGTTACTTACATATATTTAATTTAACTTAATAATATAAGCATATGAATTGTATTATCATTACATAGTACTTGAGGTTCTTTGTAAGAAAATATATTTTTACCAACTTTAGTACACTAAATTTGTAGAAAACTGAAAGATTGAACTACGATCAACTTATCTTTTATTATTTTGTATAACTAAAGTTCGCTACTTATATTTTATTAAATTTAACCTAATAATATATGCATGTGAATTTCATTGATACTACATACTGCTTAAGGTTTTTTGTAAGAAAATATTTTTCTACCAACTTTAGTAAAATGAGTTTCTAGGAAACTGAGAGGCAAAGCTACCACCGACTTATATTTTATTATTTTGTTTAATTAAAGTCGTGTAATTGCATTTTATTAAACCTAATATAATGTATGTGAATTTCATCGATACTAGGTTCGAGTTTCTTGTAAGAAAATATGTTTCTACCAACTTTAGTAAAATTAATTTGTAGAAAACGGAAAGATTGAGCTATTATTGACTTATTGTTTGTTATTTTGTGTAACTAAAGTCGTTTAATTGTATTTTGTTTCGAGTTCCTTGTAAGAAATTATATTTCCACCAACGTTAGTGGAATGAAGTTGATCAAGAATAATTGATCATATATTATAATAAGATTTGAACTACCACCAACTGCCTTATACTTATTTTGCACAACCAAATTTGGTAGTTTGTGTATTATTTAACATAATCTTAACTGATGTTAGAATAGAAATTTAGAACAAATTTAGAAATATGACCGTCGAGATTGATATCTAAATACCTTATTTTCATAAATGTAAAGAAAATAATTGTATCACCTGTTTAAAATAGGTATATTACGCACTAAAGAACAATATTAATTATTATTACTGTTATTTTGATCAGTACTACTATAATTATTATTTGTAACATTAAATGTACAGTTATTATAAGTTATAACTGATGATTGATTTGCATCTGATTGCATCATTTTTGATACTGAAACATTGGTACAGCTGCCTTTTGAATTACACCGCATAGCTTCAACAATTTCTTTATGATGTCCTTCATCAATCTGTAAATAAGGTTTTATCGATTGACTGCTACTGTGGCCTGTAATTTTGATCAACTGCTGTTCCCCAATTCCTTTTTTCGCCAAATTGGATACTGCAGTTGCTCTCGCTGAATGATTCGTAATTTTCACTTTTTTTGTGTCAACACCAATTTTCTGTGCAGCCGATTTAAACCATGTGAAAATCGTGTTCTTCCCCACTGGACAATTCTTGTACCATCCCTTTGAATTCCTTTGATCCCAAAACGGATTAGGAGTTAAAAACAAACGATTGGTCTCTATAGAGTTACCTCGTTTTTCCATCATCTTCCTAAAAAGACGAACAGGACATATGGTTGGATTATTTATGTTTGTGATTAGCCACTTGCTATCAGCTAACTTTCTTGAACCGCCTTGTGTTGTCTTCGAAAAAATGGGATTATACTCTATGCGACCAGTAAATTTGCCGAAATTATCAGTTTCTTCAACAAAGTATTCAATATTTGCTACTGCACCTTCTCCGCCCCTCCAGGCTAACTCATGGGAAGCAATATGAAAAAACTTTCGCTGAAGACCTTCTGGACAATCTTCATCCCAGAGTTCTACAATCTTCATATATTCAGCATCACTTAAGGCCAAGGCACTAAGCTTTCGTTTTGTTGGATCTTTTTGTAGTTTTCTACGTTTAGCATCACGTGCTGCTCTTGCATTTTTAAAGGTTATGTCAGAAAATGGATCAAATTTAACTTTAAATTCTTCGTAATACATCTCCTGTAGTTGTTTGGCAGTTGAATTCCACATTACTTTTACAACACTTTCTTTGTACTCCTCTGAATTTTTTTTTCTCATATTAAATGAATAATCTTCTAGAATACTTGCCAGTTCTTCAACAGGTAGCTTTTCCTGTATATTATAAGATTTTTCATTGCAAAATTCTAGAAACTGCTTCCAAATGCTTATCTTTGATTTTTTGGTATTATCTGGCATCAGATGTTGAATTTCTTTTTTTATTATGTCCTGGTTTTCTTCTCCAAAACGAGACATTTTTCGTAAAAAAACACTAAACTTTTCACTTTGACACCGTGCATATAAAATGACATTTGTTATCCTTTTTGAATTAACATACAAAGCCTACTGTCTCTTCAAAACAATCAAAAAATTTTAATATCTTTATATTTTTGTCGATATTTTTTAAAAATTCAATTAAAAACTGGAAATTTTTTCTTGCACACGAATATTTTTTAGAAAATTATCCCTCGTCTTCGATTCGGGAGAATTTTCAAAATATTCGTGTGCTCGAAAAAATGTCCAGTAATAATTGAAGCTCTAGTGGTATTATAAGTGAAAATTTTCCTATAAAGATGGGCAAAAAATGATGGGAACATATTGCCAATATACTGAATGCAATTCCAGGGGCCTCAAAAGACTGGAAACAGTGGAGAAAGGTAGATTCGTAAACCCTATTCAAACATTGTTTTATAACGTACATTCCTAGTAGATTTGCATGTAAGCCTAAAATATATATATACGCTTTTTGTTTAAAACCTGGCAAGACATCAGAAGTAAAGTGAAGAGCAAAAAAGCTCAGATAAGCAAATATCAAACGTGTACTGGAGGAGGACCTCCACCTCCACCAGCAGATGTACTCTCCGAAAATGACGAAAAAATTCTGTGTTCTTTCTCCGTATGTAGTTGTAGGGAGTGAAACGGTTCCAGAGACGTCTGTATACACTTTGATTTTAATCATGATAATGATCAAACACAAGAAATTTGTGACGATCATACTGATGAAAATGAAGTCCACGAGGACCATTTATACACCAAGAATATAGATGATACAGAAAACCAAGAGAACGTGAATAAGTATTCAGTACCTAGTACTTCTAAGGATAAGGATATAACGGGATTTGCAAAAGCAAAGTCTATTACAAAGGAAAAAAGAACCGTTGCTGCAACCAGGCTTCTGAATAGTGCTAATGCTACAACAATTTTAGCTGAAACTTCAAAGAAAGACTTAGAATTAAAAGATTTATATTATACTAAAAAACTAATTCTTCTTGAACGACAGACAACAGCTTTAGAACAACTTGTAAATATCTTAAAAAGAGATGTTTGAATTAACCATTGGGTATTAGTTATTTTTTAGTTCCTTTGCCATTGTGATTTGTTTTTTAGGGAACAATTTAAATGTAATGTATATAGGTATACAGGGTTATTATGGAGAAAGTGGCCATACTATACCAAGTGATAGTACTAATAATTTTAAGCAACTCTTCATGTAAACGTAGTCTAAAATGCATCGTTTCTGCGATACAGGGTGCAAAAAGTAAAACTGAAGATGATTTTTAATTTATACTTTCGAGACGTTTTAAGATAAATTCATAAAAATTTGCACATCACCATAACATTTTGCGTTCTTTAATCGTATGGCCACTTCCTCCTGAATCACTATATTTATATTTTAAAAAAAATGTTTATTTAAATATATTTCTGTTTAAAAAATAAAAGAATATGTTACTGTAGAAATTATTTTATTAATCATTTTAAGTATTTTGTTATGTAACAAATTTATGCAAAATAATTAATAACATTTCTTTGTGTACGTCGTCCTAAAATTAAATCAGGATTGATGCGACCAACATTTTCATCAATAAGTTCCATATCTATTATTCCAAATTCTAAAATTTCTTCATTATCATCATCAATAATATATTCTAAATTATTAACTATGCATATATTGTGTAAGACAACACATGTGTTTATAATTGTTGAAGCTTTCTCTAGGGAATAATGGAGAACTCTATGTTTTAGCAAACAACGAACAACGGAATCTCATTTTTAGCAAACCATTGCAACATTCTATTGTTGCTCTAGTTGATTTATGTTTCATGTTGTACATTTCCTCAATATTTCCTTGGGGATTTTGTAGTGGAGTTAATAACCAAGGTCTGAGTGCATATCCTGAATCACCTAAAACAAAATATTTGTATATATGATAAAAGTGAATTTCTACATAATACAACATTACGTCTACAATTATTTACCTAGCAAAAAATAGCCTCTATTTCCTCTGTTATATAAGTTTCTTAAAAAAGGTTATACGTTGCTGCTATTCCAAATATGAGAGTCATGACAACTTCCTGGGAATCTCGCATTGACATGAAGAATTTTTAATGAAGAATCACAAATCTAAATACAATACTATTTTATTCAATTTATAGCAAGGGCTAGGTTACCATTGTTTAATTTATTAGTATCAATTTATAAAATAATATACATTTTTTTCCAGCAGGAAGGCAAACAGTAGTGTTATACACAAGTATCTTAGGTAAGTATATGACAAAAAAGAGNACATGTCTGACTAAAACTTTAGAAATTATTAAGGAAAAGCTATTTTTTATTTTTCACTTTGACACCCCGTATCTTTTTTTATGCGACTAGGGATATAGGTACGTTAGATTAAATCAACTTATTTTCATTTAAGGAATCTCTGGCATCATTTGTGCCCCTTCATTTAAATACACCCTGTATACAGTGCTCTATTTTTAAAACCTAACATAGGCCAACTTTTTTATTTGAAGTGGTAGACTAGTACTTCCAAATGCAAAGTTGTAGGAAATAACTTGATTAAGAAAAATTTACAAATAATTCTTTCCGGTGTTGTCAGGTTTCTGCAGTAGCTACTAAAACGATATTTTTTTAAATGGCAACACCGTATTTTTTTAACATAATTTGACAAACCTTCAAATTCTAAATAAAAAATGTTGTCACATTTCCTTATTGGAGTAGCCGTTTTCGAACAATCAGAAAAAACAACGAAAATAATCTGCAGTCGGCAGGAACTAAAAGAAGCTAAAACAGCAATAGTACAAAAAATTGTGTAGTTTGTAAGGAGCTATCATTATTGTATTGTCATTGTGTTATTTGAAAGCTGTTGTATTTGAATGTGTATAAAAATAACGTTTTAATTCAGCTGCTAAGATGAATCAGTTATTTAATCCAAAAGAGAAAGTTAAATTAATTTTTGTTCATGTTAATGGCTTATGTATACGCAATGCGTACGCTGAATTCCACACAAGACATCCCGATAAGTCTTTTCTAAATCCGGAGTTTTAAGAACTAACTTAGTAAAACTGAAAACAACTGGTAGGATCTGCAAAAGGCTGAAAATCATATTCGCAATTGAATTAAAACCTTACTTTACTTAACACAATGACAATACAATAATGATAACTCCTTTCAAACAACACAATTTTTGTTTAATATCCAAGGCCTACTATTGCTGTTTTAGCTTCTTTTAGTTCCTGCCGACTGCAGATTATTTTCGTTGTTTTTGCTGATTGTTCGAAAACGGCTACTCCAATAAGGAAATGTGACATAACATTTTTTATTTAGAATTTGATGGTTTGTTGCAGAAATCTGGCAACACCGGAAAGAATTATTTGTAAATTTTTCTTAATCAAGTTATTTCCTACAACTTTGCATTTGGAAGTACTAGTCTATAACTTTAAATAAAAAAATTGGCCTATGTTTTAAAAAAATAGCACTGTATAATATAATAGTATATACAGGATGTTAATTAGGTATGTACAATAAATTCAACAGACGATTATTTCAGTGATTTTAAGACAAGAAGATACAGAGTGTACTTTTGTACTTTTGTACACTTTTGTACACGTAAACTTTTTTAAAAAAATTACTATTTCGTAAATATATTAAATACCCTTTGCCCAATTTTGTTGTAATTTGGCAGTGTTATTTGTAGTGTCAAGGGGCCAATTTAAACCTAACTTGATTAGATTTATTAAGTCCAATGGCGTCCCGAGCGGTACCTCAACGAATATTTTTGACGAAAAAAATGTACGCCAGTGACTTTTTTGTAAATTTTATATCTTTTTTGAATTAAGCAACTGAAAATACAACTTTTTTGTCCCTTGAATATTTTTCGTATCTTGATTAATTTTTGTAAAAAAAAAAATTAAATCCACTTAATTGCATATCCCTGGACCACACGAGAAACATGGGGATAAGTTTCTTTTGGAAATTATCAATTTTTTATTAATAACATGTAACATCTAAATAACATAAAGTACAAATAACACTGTCAGATTACAACAAAATTGGGTAAAGGGTATTTAAGAAATTTACAAAATAGCAATTTTTTAAAAGTTTAACACCCTGTATCTTGAAAACAAAGCATCTGCGGACAAATGTTTATATGAATTTTTTTTTGTCTTAAAATCACTCAAATAATCGTCTGTTGAATTTATTGCACATACTTATTTAACACCCTGTATAATATATTATCAATTTTAAATTAATAACCAACTTCCCTGTCCATAACGTTTTAAATACTTTAAGATATTGGCAATAATTTCATACCTTTGTTTGTCTTCCGTTGTATATTTCTCCAATTGGGACCTACTCCTAGTACCTACGGATAAAAATAATGTAAGTAACATTTATATCAACGATAACAAACAACACAAAGTGCATTAAATATATTTTATTGCTGCAGGAATTTTTTCCCCAGGCCGGGCCACATTCCCTTGCTACAGTCCTGGATACAAAAAGGAAGACTCATTATTTTGGCTTAGATATTTTAATCCTTTAGTCGGCCAATAATCATATAACAGCTTACATACACGATTTATATCTCAGACAATATTGACACAATATTATTTATTAGGGGACCAGGTATTTCCCGTCGCAATATGTGTTAATTTATAAATCTTACGTTCCTATAATTTGTATCTTTAAAATAAGATTTTTTACCTCCAAACGTAATAAGTTAGATGGATCATGGAAATAAGCTTGAATTACTACCTTGGCGTGTAAACCATCTGGAAGCACACTCAATAGATATTCATTGGCACTAATGTGCCGTGAAACTCTAGCAGTTATCACTATTTCTCCTGCGGAACTTTTGTGTTCAGCAGCTTTTATGGCATATATTGGATCACCAGTCATCAAGTAATGAGAATTCTCTTCGTCGCCCACCAAGGAAAATACCAAGTGACCAGAAGCTACGGCCAATTTAACTAAAACAAATATTTATAAAATTGTAACATTTATTTTTTAGGCGGATCGTTTAAATTCACTCAGGAAGGCCCATCCTTCCAACAAAGATATAGTTTTTCCGAAGTCAATCGAAGAACCAATAATTTCAAGGTATGTACCCGACTCGGTCGCTAAGCAGCAACTCGGCATTGAAATATTTGAAAAACTTGTTCCCACATTTATTTAGCCAGGTCTGGTCGAACGAAACGTGCAGGTGGTAGAAATGTATACGCTCAGTTCAAGAATGAGCGTGCTGGCAAAGAGCAATACGCACTGTTGTTATGGTCCATTGCGTCATAAAATTCAGTTGTTGACCATACCCATATGCAGGTCTGGTCGAACTAAACGTGGATGTGGTGGAAATATATACGCCCAGTTGAAGAATGCGAGCGAGGGCAAACGAAAAGAAATTACATTGGGCCACTGGGCAATAAATCTCAGCCGTTGACAAGTGGTCGACAAATTGCCTAGCAGGCAGTGCCGTAATGCGGAATTTGGTGTGATTCAGGTAATTTTAATTTATTGTAGGCACCTTCTATTAATCATTCATATTACAATTGCGAAAGGGAGAAATAAGAGGAATATTTGGTTTACTAACATTATTACAACATGGCATTTTGGAGACCTTTTGAAACGGAACAAAACGAAATTTACCATCAATATAATAAAATTGTTTGAGGACATAAATAATTAAAATATGTTGTTGGTCAAATGAACGTATAATAGAAATTTTCTACACATTATATACAAATTATTATGATTTTCTACCTTTAGCAGAAAACTTTTTTAGGGACGCCCATGAAACTCATTAAATTTGATTGCTCGGTTTTTTTATGCATGTTCAACTGACCTCGAAAAAACTATAGTCTACATTACGTTCTTGCATCCAAATTTTAAGGTGATTTAATTACCTTTATGAAAGTGACTTTAATTAAAAAATATATATTTTTCTATTACCTCTCGCATTTTTTATTCTAATTATAAAGGTATTAAGCTCAACATATTCAAAATATTTTTGTAGTAGCCTTCTCCATAATTCCTAATGAACAATCAGTAATTATTTAGGTTTATTCTAATAATCTTGAAATAAATATGTTAAGGTCACGAAACCTGTTTTCATAAGTAATTATTTATTTTTATTTCTCAACTACCTATAACACGGATCACTTTTCTCTAGAAAATCAATCTTCTGTCTATTTGTACAATACAGCGAAGCCTGAGCTTTTCTGTGACTTCTCCGCAAACAATAAATGTTTTGTATAGAGGGTGTTTCAATTAAAACTTCCCCTGTATGAGAGCGATACATTTCGATTTGTTGTGGCTTGACCATTCAGAAGGTTTTATAACAGCAGTGGAGGCTAGCCTCCGTTGGAGTTCGTAATCGTTCGGATCAGGATCGGAATCTACGCAGATCGGATAAACTGTGCAGAATAACAGATCATTTGGCACGGTTAAATAGTAATAAATAATATTAATATAAATTAAGCGTTTTTGAAATTAAATATTATTCTTTACATTTTAAAATTTGAGAAGCACAGATAGTATTTAAATCTTTTGGTAGAAATATAATTTTGAATCTAGTAGAAACTGCTTTGACAATATTATCTAAAATTTTAATCTGTATTGGGCAAAACCTTTTAATTCAAGCAAAAGAAACGTATGTGATTTCAATGGACTATTAAAACTGTCTGCATGCCCATTAACTTTTATTACCAACTCTTTAATTATTTTGTTTTATATGATGAACGCAAAATTTCCCCACAGTGCTCTTAGACCTACCTCTAACCACGACATCCACGTCAGTTCGATAACTTCCGTAAGATTTTTGTATAACCAAAGAACAGTCAATGGCTTCGTGAACAGCATCCCGCATACTCAACTGATCCGACACCTTCCACAGAGCGATGAACGCGTCTCCTGAGAACTTCAGGACGTCGCCTCCGTGCGACAGAATCTCCTGAACCATAGCGCCGATGTAATTATTAAGCACCTGGGTGAGGCGAGAAGGACCACCTTTTCCTGACTTATTGTACTTCTCGCACAAGTCAGTAAAGCCTGATAGAAAAACATTCAATTAATTAAAAAAACAATCTAAAAAATGTAAACAATAATTTTTTCTAAATAGGAATGGAAGAAAAGTTGGTACTATTGTGCAACAGAGAAAAATGTGGAGATCAAAACAGCGAAACTTTATCCACCAAATGTTTCTCCTTTTCTTTTTAATTAAACAAACATCAATAATAACAGTCATAGTAAAATTTCTTTTCACGAAGGAAACATCTTGGTCCAGTAATTTTGTATTTATTCATGATACATATTGCAGTGTATATATCGACTTGAGACAAGGCTCACGATATGTGATCGCAATACCGTCTTGATACAAATCTCCAAGTCTGTAGCAGGCTTAAATGGTAGGTATCGGTTTTTTATATGTACCGTTACCAAACCACAGTTTGAGTTAAAAGCTTAATCTAAATGTAAGAAAATGTTTTCTACACAATCATGTTTAGTGAAATTTCTAAAACACAGTAATGGAGATATGTGGTAATGGTGAAATTTAATTTAGTTAAAGAGGTTGGAAGATCTTCGCAAAGGCTGCCTTTTCCGGGACTGGGGACTTATGGTGGGGGAATTATTATTTTAAAGCAGACTAAACTGCAGTATAGCCTCGATTATAACTTAATTTATTCGTATCGGACGGACGCATTGAACAGTCGAATCGGACAAAAATAGTTAATTACATAATTTTAAATGGAGCAAGGTACACTTGTTCGTATCGCCCGCATCGCATAACGAGAATTATTTTCTTCTCCTGTTTTTCTTCTTCCTCAAAAACGTATGCAATGGCGAATATCTCTTCATCTGAACTGTCCATTTTGACAACAGGAATAACACTGAATTCTGCAATACGTTAGGCAAATCTAAATGTAGTGTGCGATGTTAATAAAAATAAAGATTCGTTCGATGCATCCGATACATCCGATGCGAACAAATGTGCGCTTACCTTAAACTTCCCAACTGGGCAATTCAACAACAAAATTGCATAGTGCTGGTTAGGTGAAAGTTGTAACAAATCGACAGCATACGCAGTAGTAAGTATACATCTTTATCTTCTTACATACAGGGTCGGAAAGTCCCCATGGTTCATCGGCCGTTACGTGAGAGCGATAAAGTAAGTCATAGAAATCCGTGCGATAGAGAAAGATGGCTATAATGAAGGCGTCTAATGGTCACCGCCCATTTCGCCCTTCCACAAATAAGATGTGGATCTTACGAACGCCATTCGAAACGAATTAATTGACAATTCATTTATTATAAAATGACATCATCGCTTACTACGATACTAGTAATTGTAGTGAGTAGTTGTTGTACTTGAGTAGTAGTGATAATGATTGTCAAAAATTGAAAAACAAATTTTTGCGTAAAAACTATGAATGCTACAAAATTTTACCAAGGGCACGAAAATCTCGAAAAATGACTAATGCATCAATAAAAATAAAATGAATTAATTCCAGTCATCCAATAAAAAGTTCTGGTAATTCTTGTACCAAGACACTCAAGAATTTACCACTAGCCCAAGGCAGATGGACGCGGTTGCTTCATCAAAACATGAGTTTTACTTAGAAATAAGTCCACAGCAAGTTTCATTAAAATCCATCGTAACATTCTCCAGATATTACAAAAAAACATATATTTTTTCAAGAACTTTGACAGTGAATAGCAGAGGAGCCAGGCATTTTTTCTTAATGGATATTAGGTCAAATCGTCTTCTTTTGAGTCAAAGAATGTCGCAGTACCTTTTTGATCATGTGCTTATGGGACACCCCTTTATTACGAACAGACAAGTCACGTGACCGTCGAGCTTAGGCAACCAACTAATGTCATCTTGATATTATTGTTTTAATTGTGCTCTCTTTGTCAACACTTTTAGAAATGATTAAGAAAAACACCCACAAAGAGTTTAGAACACGGTGGGATGAAATAAACAGCTGTCAATTTGCTAAGCAGTTCTGAGGATACCCCAGCAAAGACACAGCCAAAAAGTACCTGGCTATGTCCATCCAGGATAAGCCTTCGCCTGGTGACGGGTATTCAGACTGGACACTGTTGGCTAAGGAAACGCCTCTACATTATGAGGAAGTGCAAAACACCTCTCTGTAGAGGTTGTAAGCAGGAAGTCGAGACAATTTTCCAATATACTCTGCTACTCTGCTATACTACGCGGTCGAAATTATAGAGAGTGACTCAGACATAATATAAAAACACTATTACCATAATGCGTATAAAATATAAAATGATTTTTATACGGTTCAATATTATTTATCTTTGTGCCGCTCGCTACGCACATCGATAGAATCTATAATCGTCTATAGACCTGAGTTACACTGAACGTCGATCTATATTCTATCGCTGTCTTTTGCACTTGTTAGGGAATAGGGAAATGCTTTTTTAGTGGGAGAAAACGGACTTGATTTATCCGTCCTGAGAAACGTCATAGTATAAGCGTAGACGAGGGGTCTAATTCCATGGCTATAATAAATTTATAAATTAAAAAAACACAACTGGGATGTTTTAAAATGCTGTAATAATTAAAATGGATCAAAGTGCCGGTTATAGCAAACCGTAAAAAAATATTAGGTTATGTTTTATTATCTTTTTTCAATATTTTCTATACTTTGTTGCCTTTTACGCAGACACGCCAATGGATTTTCGTTCCCGGCACGCTTCATCCCCCTTACTAGTCCAAAAGCTAGCAATGAGTCACTCTCTATAATTTCGACCGCGGAGTATAGTAAACTGGTGTCTCGGCAATGGAGAACGGTGGCCTTCTATAGCCTACATCAGAGAGATCCCCTTGAGTAACGTCATTACCTTTTTCTCCTTGATAGGTTGGTTGACGGCCCAGGAGAGCTAATCTCTCACTAGGAGAATACACAAGAAACCCAATGGGGTTTAAGTGCTGTAACTCAGTATACTGAATTACCCTCCAAATTATTCCAGAATCCAGAATATTGCTTTAATGACTTATAATTTTACCGAAATGTAATTGCCAACATGAAGGAAATAAAATTACTGTTTCAAACGAAATACTGGTCACGTGATTTATAATCATTTATGAAGGCTCTGTATTTACCTGAGACATCTCCAAAAAGCAGGCACCCATCGAATTCCCTCTTAGAGTAGTCCCTTATGTTATAGATAATTTCATCCGGTACCATGGAAGCCATAATCCTGGTGTGGCCTTCATCGTAGAGTGTGAAGTAAGAAGCTCCACTTCCCTGATTCGCTGTTTGCTTCAGCTCAACCAAAGGTACAGCCCGACGATTTTTCCAATCGGTATTTCCTGATTTCGTGACGATGTCGGTGCTCATTTGCCAGATGACATCATCAACTTTTTTATCCGCTGAAAATAAAAAACATGATCTGCAAATGTGAGGAACGAATCGTTGTATTCAATACTTGGCTCCAACATTTTCAAAAGTGCTTTGTATAAACTAGTAAATTAAAAAAAATTGTTTTGATCGACAACTTTCACGTTATAAAAATGACAAATGTCAGTATTATAGACGACATATAAGTCTCATAAGCAACTATTACGTTGCTCACCATCTGATTCACCTAAGCTTATAAAAAAATAGGGCTAAGTTAAGATTAAGATCTATTCCAAAATATTGAATTTGAAACCTTGAAACAAAGTTATGCACATTATTTTCTCTAATGGTGTAGCCCTTCCCCCAAAGCAGTGTTGGGCAAAATTAAATTGTTGGACAATTAAAAATTAACAATTAATTAATTGTTAATCACGCCGATTGGAATTAAAAATTAATTAATTGCAATTGTGAAAACTCGCGATTAGCAATTAATTAATTGTTAGTAGTGAGTTTTCACAACTAACGATTAATCAATTGTCAAACTTTTTAAAGTATTTAATTAAAAACTAATAATTAAAACTTATTGTATGAAAAGCATAGTGGGACCAAAACAAAAGTGTAATGTAAGTTATCAATAAAATATGTAGGTATGTAACGAATAAAAGGTCGTTATTTTTCTTTTTATCAATTTTAATTAAACATATCAGATCAGATAAGTTCAATTATGACAATAATTTCTTAATTTTAGTTTAATTTTGTGAAAAATTTTTTGATTTAAGTTATTTTAGACAATCACTTATCAATTTAAGTTTAATATTGACAATCACATTTTAGTAATCGTTTTTATACAAATATTTCTATACAAATATATGTTCACATAAAATTCAAGTGCTTGTCTGTATCGAAGCAGGATAATTAATTGTTAGTTTTAATTGTTTTTTAATTGTAATTGATTATAATTGCAACATAAAATTAATGTAGGTAAACCCAAATGAATTAATAGTTCAATTGCAATTGATTTTACCTGCAATAAATTAATTGCAATTATTTTTTTAATCAATTAATTAATTGATTGAAAATTTAATTGATTAATGCCCAACACTGCCCCAAAGTTTTCAAACTGTTGTAAAAATATAGTCAACAAGAAAAATCTTATTTTCTGTTTATTATAGAAACATTTTTTATTTAATAACTTCAAACCTTTTTTTGGCTGAGCTTCTATCATTGTTTAATTTTTTTGTTTATAAAACTATTATGATGGTTATGGAGTATACAGCCTATTTTTTATTAATATATGTATGTACATATTGAATGTGAAGTTGTTTTGAGACAGTCAAATAACGAAAAAATGCAAAATTATGTGTAGTATTTATAATAGTTACGTATATGTACACAGGGTGCTTTCTAAGTCATAAAAAATATTTAGGAAAATGACTTTAAATATATTTATTTATTTATTTAATTTAATTCATCCAACGAGATGAGAACCCTTTTACAGGATGAATAAAAACACAAAATATGCAACATAAGAGTAACATAATTACAATAAACAGCAAAGTGGTATAAAGAAAGACAATAAAAACGGAATAGAACATCAAAAATAGTTAAAAAAAAACANAATTCATATGATTACAACTAGTTCCTAAAGACCTACACTTTCAGAACTGTACATAACATAGTAAAGTACATGTACTGGGTGTTCATATGGCTGCTACATTAAATTACACCTGTGGAAATGTATGTGAAATTATTGTGACATTATATAAGATGTTACAATTTCTCGACCTTAAATCGCTAGTAGCTCGAAAACAAAACTTTTTTCGAAATTACAAAAGTTAAAAAGTGCTTATTTTATTTATTTATTTATTTATTTATTTAATTTAATTCATCCAACGGGATGAGAACCCTTTTACAGGATGAATAAAAACACAAAATATGCAACATAAGAGTAACGTAATTACAATAAACAGCAAAGTGGTATAAAGAAAGACAATAAAAACGGAATAGAACATCAAAAATAGTTTAAAAAAACAACGGCAAAACAATATAAGATAAATAACAATGATATAACAAATATTACACAATGAAAGACAAAAATAAAACATGAGTTATAAAAATAAAACAAAGATCTTAAAATGCGTAAGCACGCTTTATATCCGCAATCGTAAAGTTAAATATATCCAGCCGTTTTTCAATGTTACAGTAATTTCTTAGCATCATATACAAGGGAGACCACTGCAAAATATTAGTACGGGAGTAGGGAACAACAAATAAATTATTAGATCTGGCGTTGGCTCTAGGAACTCTGTAGCTAACAACAGAGGTAAGCATAATGCAATCCATACCATTGTTAACAAGCTTGTATAGGAAAATTATAGAATTCATAATCCTCCTTCTAATTAGACTGCTCATTTCAAATCGTTTTAACAATAAGTCTTGTGAATACCCTCTGGTAGGATAAATCCCATCCAATATGAAACTTGCGGATTTCAAGAACCTTCGCTGTACTTTCTCTAACGCCGTTATATGACAATTATAACTTGGAGACCAAATTACAGAGCCGTACTCCAATTTAGGCCTAACAAAGCTATTAAATAATACTCGTAATGTAGATATGTTTTTAAAATCTCTACTGTTACGTAGTATGAACCCCAGATTCTTGTACGCTCCAGCTATGCATTCTTCCACATGTTTAATGAATGTCAATTTGCCGTCAAAAATGATGCCAAGATCTTTAACAAATTCGGGCCGATTGAGTATCTGATTATTTAAAGTATAATCAAAACAAATTTTACTATTTCTACGAACAAATGACATAACATTACATTTGGAAGCATTCAAGGGCAGTCGATTACAATTACACCATACATTAAGCAGGTTCAAGTCATGCTGTAGTTGCAAACAATCGGATTTGGAGTTAATATCTACATAGAGCTTGAGGTCATCAGCGTACAGCAAGAAGTGAACATTTAGATCTTGGGCGATATCATTAATATACAAGATAAAAAGCAAAGGTCCAAGTATGGAGCCTTGCGGCACACCAGATGTTTGATTAAAAAACACAGAGCTGTGACCACGGTACCGTACAAACTGAACACGGCGGGAAATGTATGATTTTAGCAACTGGAGAAAGGATCTACTAACACCGCAAGCTTCGAGCTTATACAACAGTTTACCGTGGTCAAGCCTGTCAAATGCCTTGGAGAAGTCAGTATAGATGACATCCACCTGACCCCTCCTATCCAGCGTTTCGGCAATAAACTGGGTGCTACATACAAGGTTCGACACTGTGGATCTGCCCTTCATGAATCCATGCTGTTCGGGAATTATCAAGTTCCTTGTGTAAAAGGAAAGGTGTTCATGAATTAATATTTCAAATATTTTAGAGAAGTTGCATAAAATGGCAATAGGTCGGTAATTCTCAACATCATTCTTATTGCCTTTCTTAAAAACAGGACATACTCGGGATTGCTTCCATAAGTCAGGAAAGGTATTGTGCTTAAGAATAAGGTTGAATATTTTTAAAAGTGGTTTACAAAAGATGGCAGCACAGTCTCTTATAATAAACGCAGGTACATTATCCGGCCCGGTTGTCATATTTGCTTTAATCTTTCTTATCGATTTTCTAATACTGTCTTCAGTAAAAGATGTAATAGCGGGTATAGCGTTATTATTAATGTGATGTATAATATCGGGTTCATAATTCGAGGATGTAATAAAAGAGTTACTAAAATAGTGGGCAAAAGCGTTCACAATGTCCTGGGGATTTTCAAGTTTGGAATTATCATAATTCATGCAGGATGATATACAAGTAGAGTTTTGCTTTGAATTAATGAAATTCCAAAATTTTTTAGTATCATTTTGTATGGAACATTCAGCCTCCTTAATATAATTATTATATGCAATTTTTATAGAACATTTAAACTGTGTTCGAAGACGTTTAAAATGATCGTAATCAACCTGCAGTTTTGATTTTTTGTAAACTTTCCAAGCTCGGTTTTTGATTTTTAAGAGGTTTATTATTTCTGTGTTAAACCACGGCGAAAAACATTTACGTGCAGGTGTTTTCGTGGGAATATGTTTCGTAAAAGCATAATTTATTTTGTCGTAAAAGTGTTGAAGAGCAGTGTTAACGGATACGTCGGATGGTAGTGACCAATCAATAGCATTGAGTTCGCTATATAAACCGTGATAGTCTGCCTTTTTAAAATTTAAAGATGGAGAGTCTAATATAGGAAAAACATCATTGTGAGGACCAGACATGCAAGTGTCTATACATAGAGCCGGATGATGAGGGTCAATAGGTAATAACGGCTCGTAGGACTTGCGTACGGAACAAGGGTCAGTACTAAAAACAAGATCCAAGAGTCTATAATTCAAATCATCTTATGAAAAAAAGTTTATATTAACACAAGTCCAAAAACCACGTGCGTACTTGTGCACTGCATATTTTAAATTTTTTATAATCTTCCTTCATGACCTGACATAAGATTACTTTTAGCATTTTTTAATTTAAAACTCAGTTTTGAAGAAAATGCTAGTTTATAGTTATTTTTATTTTTTTATATCATACATTATTGAATTATTTTTAATAAAGCTTTAGCTCGAAATTAAAAAATGTTATGAAACATATTTTGTCAGGTAAAGAACGAGGATTAAAATTTAAAATATCAATGGCGTGCTTATTCATAAAATAATTTGAAGAAATATGAAATGTTTAGGAAGCACCTTGTATTACCATATATCCGTTATTAAAAGAGAAGTAAACCACAACTTGTCTTCTAATCTATTTTAATCTTGTCGAGTCTAAATTTTAGTATTTTTTAAGATAGCGCATGTAGAAATAAGCTAGCTTGAATTGGGCAAGTTTAATCCAATTTCTCATAATAACTTCAAATTTATGTTCAATATGTTCCAATTTACAATTTTTCGAAAGAGGATAACCAACCGAAAAAAAAAATTAACTAATACATCCTAATCTATTTTATTCTTGTCTGATCTAATTTTGATTAATCGGACACAGATAAGCTAGCTTAGGTTAGGTTACGTCAAGTTTATTCCCATTTTCTTCTTCTTTGAAGATTCGTCTTTAATATATCCAAATTGTCCATTGTAACAATTATTATAACTATATTGTACCATTCTTATACATAATGAGGAAATGTGTAGCGTTTTGTCACTGAATTTTATTCTACAATGAAAGTTAATACGAACCGTATAAGCAATAAAGAATTGTTTCACATCCCTTTGAAAATCGTAGACTGCCTTAGGAACTGATTTATTTTTAGAAAAAATAAGAAACCAGTATTTTTCAAAATAGATTCAAGCAAACGTGAAGGTACCATGTACACCATAACATTTGTTTATGTTTTCAGAATTCCATCAAACGACACAAACGTATTTTTCCCCGCAGTATGACATAAAAATTTTATAAATATGTATAACTTATAGGTAAACAGCATCTCTGGTATGTAGTACCTACCATTATTTGCACTTCATGTGTTATCGATTATTGATTGTTTCTGATAAGGCTTATCTTCAAAGACTACAAGTTGCAACACTCCTTGTATTTGGTATTACATTACTAACGTTGTATCGTGAAAAGTTCAACCTGTATAAAACGGAGAATAGTAAAGAATATAAATCTCCTGGAATACCAATAATTGTACTACCTATGTGAAGAGTAGTTTCTTGAATAAGCTTATTGCTCATATAGGTAAAAGATCAAGGTCGCTCCGCTAGCTTATCCAATCTGGTTTAGTATAACCTCCAAAATTGCCAGTTTCAATAGTTAGATAAACCATTACTGTGAATTTTATCTGCTACTCATGGTGAACCTGTAAGATCCTAAAATCATCAAAATAATGGTAAGTTTTAAAATTGTAATTACTTTATCTAAATGCCATAACACGGAAAACACGACTTATTTTTTATATACCTATTACTCAAATTTTAATAAATGAACTATAAAATGAATATGAATATTTGCATGTATTATCTATATTTGCGCTGAATATTTACACAGATACACGTTTCATTCGCATAAAAGTGCCACGTAACATTATATCAAGAGGTGATTCATTGGGCCATTCTAAGAAACAAGGATGCCCATAAACGGTTCAGCTTTCAAATCAAAATTTTAAAATATATGGAAAATATAACATTTACACAAATATCTTTGAACATGGATGAAGATGTTTCAAGCAGACTAATGAAACTTAGGTAATTACCACTTAATATATCCCAAATTGTCCATTGTAAAAATTATTGCACTTGAACTATTCTTCTACATTATGGAGTGCTTAAATCAAAATGTGTAGCGTTTTGTATGTATGTTGCTTTCTTTAAGGCTTTGTCGTACCCAACAATTATGATTCCGTTCATTTTTTAAAATAATAAAAGCTACGGCTGCCAGAATAATATCATCGTCGTTCGACGACATTTTGTCAACTAAGTCTTGGTGGGACAACTAGTTGTCAACTGAAATGTTCCTTAAAGCGGACACAAAAGTTGTCGACATTCTGAAGAACTTTTTCGGTGGAAACGATGGGAATAAATTTGACTTAACCTAACCTAAGATAGCTTATCTGTTTCCGAGCTATTATTCATAAAAATTAGAGCAAGCAAAGATAAAATAGATTAGGATTTCCTCGGTCGGTTATCTTCTTTCGGAAAATTGCTAATTGGAACATAATGAACACGAATTTGAAGTTATTATGAGTTTATTTCTACTTGTCCTATCTTTACTAAAATTTATAATCGACAGGATTAAAATAGATTAGAATATAAGTTGTGGTGGTTCACTTAATAACGGATATAAAGGTGCTTCCTAAATATTTCAGATTCCTTCAAATTATTTTATGAATAACACAGGCCACTGTCATTTTTAATTTTAATCCTCGTGCATTACCTGACAAAATATGTTTCTTAGCATTTTTTCATTTGGTGCTAAATTTCTTTAAAAAATACATTAATGTATGATTAAAGAAAATAAAAATAACTTTATAGACTAACATTTTCTTCAGAACTGAGTTCACATTAAAAAATGCTGAAAAGAATCTTATGTCAGGTAATGAAGGAAGACTAAAGAAAAATTTAAAATATCGAGTACACAAGTACGCCCCTGGTTTTTAGACCTAGTTAATATACACTTTTTTTCATAAATTGATTTGAAAAATAATTTTCCCAAATATTTTGATGACTTAGGAAACACCCTGTATACATATATATAACTATTATAAATACTACACATAATTTTTTCGTTATTCGACTGTCTCAAAACACTTCTCTTAAAATTGGCGTGTACATAAAGCAGAAATTATGAAGAATTGAAGTTGATCTTCTACATAATTACTAACTTTAAAGTTGCCGAAGTGGGCGACTATTTTTTTTATAAGAAATCTGTATAGGAATAAGGTATAGGCTATATACTCCATATCCAATTTTTTGTAAACAAAAAAATAAAATAAACAATGATATAAGCGCAGCCAAAAGTTTGAGGGTAGTAAATTAAGAATCTTTCTATAATAAAAAAATAAGATTTTTCATTTTATAATTCACATCACTTGAGTCTCATAGTAACTTTGAGTATGATATAAATCAAAAGACCTTTTTAGTAGTGACGTCACATACGCCAAATAATAGGCAACCCCACAATGCACGTTGTGAAGAATTTCTCAATATTTTTACTAGATCGATTTTCGATTTTATATTATGTACTTTGGACATAAGTACCAAAAAAAATGGCTTCTTTGCCATGACCTTAAATATCGCGAGATTTTGGCAATATTAAAAGTATTTAAGAAGTGTTTCCAACCCCAAGTGACAAACTAATAGAATGATAGAATTTACATATTTAATTTTATAGAACAATATTGACTATTATAGTAATTAATTAGTCCAATCATTATGTACATTTGGAAAAGAAAGTGAACTGGGAAAGCCAAATTTTTTATTTGTTGTGGGGGGTGCTTAGAAAAGCTTAACTTTAGATTTGAGTCCAAGATTTCCTATGTGCATTTTCCGCCATCTTGGAAAAAGTGGTGAATTTTTGTTTTTGCTATAACTCACTTCTCCGTCAAGATACAGAATTGTTGTTTTTTGTTCCTCTTTCGACGATCTACAATTTAGGTCCTATAAACTTTTCACCTATTATTGTTAGTTTTTGAGATATCGAACTAAATAGATAAAAAACAAGAACAAAGACAACTCGAATAACAAAAAAAAATTCGAAAAAATTTGTTCTGGACTTGATCAAGTGGATTTCTTATGTATTTTGATATGCTGAATCCAAAGCTGCATCCCCCAGATTTAAAAAAAATCGCAAAATAATAGCGCAAAATCACCAAATTCGAAAAAAAATGTTCTGACCTTGATACGCTGATTTCGAGTCTGAAGTCTATTAGCTGTATTCCCCCACAGATTTTTCCTTTAGTTCAGCCTTCGGAACATTGTTTCCTTATCATGTTTCCTTTGATAGGTAAATTAAAATTATTTTATCTTAGGTAAATTAAACTTATAATTTTTTGTTTATCAGTTATTATTATTTTCTAAATTATTGTTTATTTTTTAAATGTTTTTAAATAATTCATTTTCACCGGGGCAATAATTTTTTTATTAATATTTTTTCTTCATTAAATGAACCGTAGGGAGGTGGCAAATACCTGTCCGTCTCACTAATGCCCCTTTGCACCGTTTAGAATTTGAGCCAAGTTCAACTGAACTTGGTTTAATTTCAAAACTAGGTTTTAATAATCAGCTTTTGCACCACTTACTGCCAATTGTAGATTAAATTAAACTGGACTTTAAGAATACTGTTTAGGGATTTTATTATCCTGCTGACTTATGTCCAATTATGTTCGGAAAAAAATATGTCAAAGTCAGATTCTCAAACCTAACGTAATAACCTAATTTACTTTATTGTGATAAAAGATTTAGTTAAACTCATGTTGCACACTAATTATTTCTTCTGGGTTTGGTATTTTTATGTATCTCTGATAAAGCTGAGCTATTGCAATTGATACTCGTACAATTATTCTGGACACTGTTGATATGTCCATCCCTGAAAAGTCTGCAGTGGCAGGCAAATGACCAGCACAAGCATAGAACCGAAGAGCAGTCGGCAATTGTTGAATAGAAGTTACACTATTATTCCTAGAAATACAAAATCATATTAAGAATAAAAAATTTTTATAATTCCAAAATTCTGATTGCCAGTTGCATCGTGTTCATGCCGACGTGTTCGTAAAACTTACATGTTACATGTCACTTGGATATTCCAACTGCTCTTCAATTAAAGTTAGCAGATGTAATGTGGTCCTTTTGTTAACCTAATTCTGCGGAAAAAAAGTCATATTGTCTAGATTATGAAATAGATCATTTCTAATATATATTTGTCTGGGAAATCCATAAAGAATATAATTTCGTGAATATCAAAATCATCCAATACATCAAAGTCAGAATCTGAATCCATTTCAAAGTTCTCAATGATGTCTTAACACCACTCACTCATTCACAGTCCACAGGAAAAGAGGAAGAAATACCTATTTAAAAAAATTATAACTAGTAGCTAAGCACTGTCAATAGTGTCAATTTATGTTTTCTCATTAATCCAAGTTTAAGCAGTCAAATTTGAGGGTTTAAATTAAACTTAGATTAAACCGATTTGAAACGGTGCAAACAAAATGTTATATTTTAATCCAAGTTCAGACTTAATCCTGGATTAAACACTACGGTGCAAACGAGCATAAAATATTACCATTTAACCAAACTTACCTTAATCCATAAGTCCAAAAGTTGATACTTAAATAGGTACAGGGTGTCAAAATGAAAACTTTGTTATCATTATTTTTAAATAGGTAATAATTTTATAATTGCAGCGATGATTGAAATATTTCAGTCAAGGATTACAGATATTTCACTTTGGAAAGATCGTATAGGACAAAACATTGAAACATATTTTTTACATAATAAAATTCATAGCAATTTATTTAGTTGCAGTTACAGTTGTTAGAGGCATGTACCATGTAACGACGTAAACTAGGTAACTCAAGTGCCTGATTCCAGGATAATTCCAAATCTTGCCAGCATTCTTTTTTTGTTGGAACACAGGATTCTGTTCCTGGATAACCCAATGAAACTAGGATGAGTGGCAACTTTAATAATGGTTAAGAGTCCAAAGATTACTTGTAGAAATAAATTTTAAATTTTCCATAAAATAAAATCCCAAATTGGTTATAATAGTGATAGCAAACTTAATTTTTTCTCAATTATTAATTAGATATATTTGGTTTTAGACTATCATCTTTAAAGAACACACATAAATAATGTGCTTACTTCAACCACCACTTAAGTCTTCAGAAGCTAATTACAATCACAGCACCACAGTGATTAAAGGAAAAGCTGTGAGACAACATACTATCGGAAAATATTTAAAATAATTTATTCTAGGCATCCTAGGAAGAAAGGTGTTAAGAAATTATGAGAAGAAACACATCATTGTATCTTGTTCCAGCAGTTATTTTTTCTTTATTATTGCTGCAGTATTGTTACTACAGTAGTGACTTTAAACGAATGTATGCAAATAACTTTAAATGTGTTATTAATGACATTAAACGCACACCTGATAATGTACCATATAAGAACATCCTCTACTGGACTGGAACATTTGGACAAGCTGATTTCTCCTTAGGTTATGGAAGTAAAATATTTGAGGGATGTGAAGTGAGCAACTGCTTTGCTACAGACAACAGGTGCTATCTACCTGTGGATCAATTTGATGCTCTCCTCTTCCACGGATGGGAGTATATTTGGGAAATTCAAGATAAGCCTGAGAATAGATCACAGGCGCAAGTCTACATCTATGTGAATCAAGAGCCTCCACCTAATACTCCCAAATGGATTGGATCAGACAATTTTTTCAATTGGACTATGACCTACAGGTATGTTCTATGATTTATCTCTTTCTTTCTCTTAAAAATATGTCCAAACATAGATTTTGATATAGAACAGTTACTTTTGCATATCAGAAATATTTTTTTTTATGTAAATTATCTTTATAATTAATTTCACCATAAATTTGAGTTGATGAAAAAATAAATTACATTTATTCCCTGAGTGTACTTCAGTTATTCAACACTGTAATCAGATTAATTTTAAGCACATATTTTGCTATACAGATTGGACTCGGACATTGCGTATACTTATGGAATGTACAAAAACTTTACCACTAATTATAAAATGCCAACTGTGGAAGAAGTACAACAAAAGTCCCGTAAAATAGCCTGGATGGTTTCCAACTGCAATCCTCCCAGTAACAGGAAAAAACTTTACGAAAAACTCAGTAAATACTTTCCGATAGATGTCTATGGCGCTTGTGGAACCATGTCCTGTCCCAGAGAAGATTCCAATGGATGTTATGACCTCATAGCAAGGAACTATAAATTCTATTTGGCTTTCGAAAATTCTGTCTGTGTAGATTACGTAACAGAAAAGATGTTTTATTCATTGAAAAGTGATTTTATACCTATCGTATACGGGGGTGCGAACTATTCTAAATTTGCGCCACCAAACTCAGTTATAGATGTCTCAAAATTCAGTTCCGTAGAAGAACTAGCTAAATATTTAAAGTCTGTGGATGAAGACCCAAACAAGTATCTTTCATATTTTGAGTGGAAAAAACATTACATTGTGAAAACAGACAAAAAAAATGCTCTGTGCGATATATGTAAAAAATTAAATGAACCTTTAGTGCACAAGTCTTACGATATTGAAAAGTGGTGGAACGATGGAATTTGTAAAGCGGGAGATGACTTACCTAAGATAATATTCACGTGATCTTTTATTTATCGGAGGACTATATTTTTCCATATAGTGAAGCAAAAAGTGACAGGCCATTATTGTCTAGTACCGCTGAAATTATAACAAAATTAGCTTAAACAGTGTAATAAAAACTAACAATCCAAAGATATTTTTATATAACTAAATGAATAATGGAAAGGTTAACACCAAGTGCACTCGAAAGGGATAATATATAGCGCTAAGTCCCGCACTTGATGCAGCAATTACTTTTACACAATTTTAATTTACTGTTAATTTTCTATTCCGCTACCTTTATAAGTACAAAACGGTTGAAATACTTGATGATATCAATTTATGATTCTTAATATATGCAAATGACATTTTATACTAAATCTAAATTTTAAAGGTAGTGACACTTTAACCTTACACGTTGTCCAAAATACAAACAATAAAAATAAAAATATAGAAACTATATACAAAGACCAGGTTAAAAGAGTATGTCTAGGTAATTCTAGAAATAATAAACATTAGTGAATTTTAATTTATATAATGATACTTTCCAAATATTTTTTTATGACTATGGCAAAATAGATTTTTTTTAATTATGATTTTTTATGAAAATGCCTTATCTCAACTTTGAAGCTTAAATAGAGGTCTTTTAAATGTAAAATTGAGAATTTTTACAAATTGTTGTATAGTTAATTATATATTAGTTAAGGCGCGTATAAACTTGCGAGCTGAGCGGCTCATGAGCCGCTCGCTGTGAGCAGACTGGAGTCGGTTTTTCCGGCGAGCACAAAGCTCAGTGTCAGTTTAGACAGCAAAACTACGTGCTCTCAAGTGTGGACGTGCTTTTTTAATCAAACCATGGCGGATGAAGACCTGCGCCGCTTATAACCATCATAGCAAACAGAGTTTCTTGTCCAAACATCTTTCAAACGAATACATAAACTGAATGGTGCGGTGGATTTGTTCGCGAGCAATGCGGGCTCACTTAGTACTCATGAAAGGCTCGGGCATTCATTTTTTTTCATGTGCGGCTCATGAGTCGCTCAACTCGCAAATATATACGCGGCTTTATACCTACATGTATTATTATACTATTATGTGATACTTTTTATGTTATTTAAGTTATTTCTTATATTTTTTGATATGTATTTAAATTTCACAAAAAAAAATAACTAGTCGTGCAGGTTAAATAAAATCTAAAAGTCTAAAAGTAATGAAGATTTTAATAAGTCCATAAATTTACTAAAAATAAAGATGCTTTTATTTATTCCATAATTATGTACAGCCAAACATTCATAAACTTTTCACGTTCAAGTTTCTCAAAAGAAAAACAAAATTTGATGGATTAGCACTTTCATTTCTAGGTATATTATTCATCCATTGAAGATAAATGTAATGGATCTTATATGCCCAATTGTAATTAAGGATGTTTGACTACACTTTTACGAAAATACCCATTAGTAAGTACAATTAATCGTTATTAACATTTTTACTGACAGATTATGTTGTTTGAGCTTAAAGACAAAAGTTTAATAAAAAGTCAATAAATTAAACAGTTGCTACTTCCAAAATTTCATATCTAGATAATTTACTTGCAATCATAGGTGTTTATAAAAACATATAGTGTATGTTTTAATGGACTGTAAGGCGGAATGAAATTTTCTTTTTTCGTTTAAAATAAAGATTTTTAATTTTTAATTAGTGCCTTACAAGGAGTGACTTTCATAATAATAATAATAATAAATAATAATAATACAACAAAAACAATCTCTCAACTGTTTTTTACGTTTCTAACGTTTCTTATTTTAATATGTGTTCGCACACTCGTTCCAATTCTCAACAATAGGGTTTTCATATTTGTAATAAATAATTCAAAGGACTATCGATCCTATATCACAGATTTGTCAGGAAATCTAAATAAACGTCTAGATCGATCACCATGGATTAATATTAGCATATTATTATTATTAAATATATTTACGAAAATTAACTCGTAATCTAGCTAAAACCATACAAATTGCAAGAATAAAAATAATAATCTGAGCACTTAGAGTGAATTGTCTTAATGCCCTTTTGTGTATTTCGAATTCTAAACATTTAATAGTAGTAATGATGTAAAAGTATAAACCTCAAAAGCTACGATCAAAGAGGAACAAACTACTGTGCTATCTTACATTCCTGGAACGCTGCCGAGACGAAAACATCATATCAAATTGTATGANAGAACGAAGTTTCAAAGCAAAAACCTTGTATAACAGATATACTATAAATATTTACAGAATGAAAACAAAATATAAAACTTATGATATGATTCTATCAAATGAAAACACTAACAACAATTCTCTATCAATCTCAACAAAATAAGTTATTTTTCTATCAAACAAGAAATATTAACAAATTATAAACAAAATACAAATTCTATGATTTATGTACTGCACGCCGAACTGCATTTTTCTCATCTTCATTTAATATTAATTTCTTCTTTCCACCCCCTTTTTTAGGTTTCTTAACGTCTCCTTCATTTTTCTTCTCTTAAAATTTTGAATACAAATGATTCGCTTACTCCAGTATATCTAGAACACATTTCCACCAAACTAGTCTTCAGTTTCATGGGATGATCCTTTTCTAAAGCTTTATAGACATTTAATATTATCGTGTTCTCTTTGTAACTTAATATAGATTTTTTTGTACCCACAGCAGTACATCCAGGCACCGCCTCCTTTTCTCCATATAACGACAAAAGAGCAATAATAATACAAAAAACTTCACTTCACTAGCACAGAAAATATAATAGCATTCACGATTCACAAACAACAGCCCGAAACACACACAGCACACAAATAAAACACCAAAAACACTTTTGTTACGGAGCACAAGAAATATGATTTCACTCACAAATTCTCAAATAATAGCGCGAAACACGCATATAGCCCGAAGGAAATATAATTGCACTTATAACAGTTATAACCTCACAAATATCGCGAGCGAGAAACACGCAGCACCAATACAACCGAAACGAAACTGACCACGCCAGGCCGGCACGCGCGCCGCCGCAACAAACACAAGACACAAGTCATATGAGGGAGAATGAAGGGAGTAATAAATGTATTGTTGCCCTGCCGCCCAATGTGCGAAGGAGATGCCTTTGTTTTTCATTTTGTCCTTCATAAATATATAACTATTAATCTATAATGCATAAAGAAATTATTCAATTTCCAAAACCCCCTAAAACGTGTTGCACTGATTCCCTTGACAGGCAATGATTTATTACTTTGCATCGAATATGATCCTACTATCGCTTTGCTTAGAGAAGCCATCCACGATACGAGAAGGAAACTGAATCAAGTTAACATGGACGTTTATGATATCTATTTGATGCTAAGCAGTAGTTTCATGTTTCCTACTCTGTACTACTGTACAAAGTTGACTATATGACTATGAAAACAATAATATGATTATGATGGTCGCCGCGTGACTGCTACCCTTTCCTTTTACATACATACTGTTTTTTTCTCGCTCGCACTAGAACTTACGGCACTCTACCTCGGGGGGGGGGTTCATGTTCATACTTCTGACGCCGGCGCGGTAAGACCTTTGAATTTGAACTGAACATAGCCGCCCCCCTTGAAAGGCTAGACTTTCAATACATACAGTGCGTCCCAGAAGTAACGCAAAATATTCGTATTTTACTTTGTTGAATTTTCACAAAAACGCTAAAACATCGTATTATTAGTAAATAGGAATTGTCGTTTTGTCACGTTGGTTAAACCTTTTTTATGCGATATTTCATAAACCTATGACGTCATCGACATTTTTTTAAATAGCACTACCTAATTTTTTAAGCATAAATGGATAGCCCTTTTGAAGGTAAATGCGTCAATATAGGGTTTGGCCTACTTTATTTTGACAGGTGCGGAAAAAAAGTCAACGATTGGAATGGACATGGTTTGAATTAATAACAAAAGTAAGTAAGGGTGTCTCATAATTAGCTGCCAACCCTGAACAGGCCGATTCTATGATCAA